TCTCCGATTCTCTACACTCACCATACGAAATACAGCAGCATTAAGCTACTATTTCACGCTGGTATTCTGTGAGAGCGTGGTCCTTCCCCGGTCGAGCCGACCTGCTGCAACTATAATACTAATATAACTGCAGCATGGCTCTACCAACTAAGATTAATAATAATAATAATATTCCACAACTATCACACAACGCCATCTAGTCCCAAGCTAAGCAGAGCTTGGGTTATGGGTACTAGACAACTGATAAACATACTAATATATTTCTAAATACATAAATATTATAGATAAATTACACCCTAACACCCTAATGTACCAATATTATAATTTGTAAGGTAATTTATTTTAATACTGTAGAATACATTGCCAAATTGAAGAGCTAACTGGACAAAGGTTACTTGACAAATTAAAAAATCCGACTTTTTTTTTTGAAAACGAACTTCAGTTTTACTGAACTTAAGTTTTATCTGATGATAAATTTAATGATTCTTGAATTTAAACACGCCAATTCTAATTCGTTACATAGTTACAGACGCTAGCAAAGGTGTTAACTGCCAAACAAGTATATATTTCAGATTTATCTATCTATATGTGGCCACCACATCCAGGTTCTGGCCTGCTCTTTTGTTTTTACTACGCCAAAGTGTGAAGAATGTAGTTCGTTTAATAGCTGCTCGGGGAATATCGACAGTATGATTACTTTATGGCACCGCAGGATACAACCATTTTCTACGGCTAACTCTGACTGACAAAGAAAATATGGCTTTAATAATGGATCCGACACTTTTCGAGGCTACGCTTTATGCATAAACTTTAACACTTTTATTAAAAGATTATCTCGGGATGTTTCTTTTTTTATATCTTCCACAGTTATTCGTTTTAAAACTGAGTTATCTATAAATTTAATATACAATGTTTTATAAAGATCTGAGCATTCATTATGAATTTCATTCTGTATTTGATTTACAGACCATGATAAGAAATCAGCTACATTGCTGTCACTTCTAACATACTTTAATGTGAAATTATAGGCAGATAAAAAGATCGCTAATTAGCCGCCTTGTCAGGTATACCCTTTTTGTTTCCGAAAATGGTTAGTAAGCTCCTACGATCCGTCCTTTGGATAAACGGTACCGTTCGACCATACCAATATTGGTGGAAATTTCAGAGCATACAAGGGCTGTCCGTTCTACTAGAAATAAGAATCCTATTTATAAAGCATAATTTACATTTTATTACTTAATTCTTTACCATTGGTGGAGGGAACTGTGGTGTTTTAAAAATGTGATAACATAATAGGATTTTATTACCTCATAAAGCCATTGTAAGTTCTTCTTAACAAAACTTAATATGGTTTATAGGAGACAAAGGTGTGTTATGTTTTTTTAATAAATTTGCATAGAATAACCTATTTTTTAACATAATATATAAAATAATCAATCTTATCTAAGTATTGCTACCAATATTGTATTTGAAAACTATATGCTTTAGTCCTTAGTTCATTTGATTATTTATTATTTTCAAACACTCATTAATTGTTTAGAACTATTTGCTAGTTTACACCTTAAATTTAATTATCTTTAAAACATTGATTAATACAAAATTGGTGTAGGAAGGTGCTTTTTAGAAATATATTCAATACAAAATTTTGTCTATATTTTAAACAACCTAAAACTGATGTGTGTAACAAATGTGATTCTCACACTCACACACTAAAGAGCATATTGATAACTACAAAAGAGCATTTGAGTTACAAAAACAAGAAAGAGAGGTGTATATTAGTGGAAAAAAAATCACTTTTGACATACAACAAACTCAGCCTCTACCTAAAATTCCCATATCAAAAGCATTTTATTTAAGGCAAATATGGTTTTATAATAAAGATATATATCATTAAAGATGGCTACAGGCCACATAAATAGTGTGTAAGATTGAACATGTGGCATACCTATTTTTAAATAATAATACTATTTCATATAAATAATGTTATTTTTATTTTTTTACCTCATAGAGCCATTGGAAGTTCTTTTTAACTAATTAATATGGTTTGTAGGAAACAAAGGTGTATTATATACATACTTTCATTGTTTTTTTAAAAAATTTGCATAGAATAACCTATTTTTAATATAACATATAAAATAATCAATCTATCTAAGTATTGATACTAATATTGTATTTTAAAACTATATGCTTCAGTTCCTCAGTTCATTTGATTATTTATTATTTTCAAAGGCTCATTAGTTGTTTAGAACTATTTGCTAGTTTACACCTTTGTCCACTTAACCCTTCAATTCGGTATTGGGTCGAGGAAAAATAATATTATTTTTATTTAATATTGTTTACCTACTTACATGAATGCATAAATTATTATCAATTTCCATAAGTGATTCTTCATGTAAATTGATGGAGGAAGATGTTGGAATACAAGCTTTTGTTTCCTAAAAGTTAATTATCTTTAAAACATTAATTAATACAAAATAGGTGTAGAAAGATGCATTTTACAGAAAATTTAATTTAAAGTTCTAGGTATATTAAACTCTGAACAAGATTCAAGTTTTAATATTGATTGTTAAAACTTGAATCGCGTTCAGAGTCTAAAAGAAGCCTGTCTCAGTCATTTATTGCTATTAAAATTCACAAAATAATGTTTGTAACAAACAAGATAATTGTACTAAATAGTATGAATATGTCATTAACTGAATATTTACCAGAATTGGTACATCATAAGGTAATAGCAGAGTAAGTTTCTTCTTTTTTATTAACATCTTATCCTTAAAATGTCTGCTGCAAATTTTTGATGACGGTTTTGGTGTCCAGTCTGTTCGTCCTGTAGCTACAATCCAATTCCGACGTAAATTATCATGTTCAGGAAAACTGCAACAAACCATTCAATCTTTCAGATATTTAATTAATAGACACTGCAGAATACATATCTGTACACCTTAGGCAAATGATCATAAGTCACATTAAGCTAATTGTTCAGTGCACACGTTTTAAGTCTCAATTTGAACATTACTACACAATTGTAAATAAAAATTTATTTGTTGTTTAAAAGTAGTTTTTGATTACAATAAGATATTAATAAAAATGTAATTAATTAATTAAATAATGAACTTGGGATATGCTACCTCTAAACACTAAAGATAATTTTTTTATAAGTTACATGTAATAAAAGAACATCCTAAGTCCTGATTTTCAAGGCACAATGAAAATCATGTTTCATTAATCACAAGTTTTGTTTACTATTCATAAGCATTATCGTCGTCGGGAAAGTCCGATGCAGTGGAAGATTGTGGAATTTTTTATAATAGTCATGACAATATGACGGCAATTCAATATGAATGTAAATCTTGGTATCTTTATATTTTTTGGCTGAAATTGAAATTAAGTTTTGGTTCATATTTTGTAAACTTCCTGGAAAATTCAACTCCTTCCTCTTCTGACGCCTTAAGGCCCGTATTAATTACTCAACGATCAGCTCAAGTGCGTTATCATTTGATACGCTCTCATTATGATATCAGCATCTCAAGATCGTTGCTAATTAATAAACACATAAAAACAGTAAGGTCAGTTAGGGTAAGAGGAACACCGGTGAAAGAGGAACACAACTCCATGACTCATAACCTATAGAGTTTAGCTCTATGGTATATTAGTAGATAAATAAGTAAAGTAAAAAAAAACAAACGGTTGCTAAAAGATGTCGCTACGATGTTCCAAAGTCGAAAAAAAAAGAATAACAATTTGACAGTTATAAAGTCTAAGAACACGAGTTGGCTACATAACTTTTATTCGCTCAAAAATTGTGAAAATTTTACTGTTAGAGATTATTTCCATGAAAAAATTCTAACACAAAAGGGTAAGCTTTACTTTTTGTTTGATATTTTAGATTAAAACCTACAATTAATATAAGTTTCATCGAATTTAAAATCTTAACCTCCAAAAACATTGTTGGGGTAAGAGAAACGGTACTTACAGGGTAAGAGAAACAGTATGTTCCTTTTCGCCGATATCAGGGGTGATAAACATTATGATGTTTTAATAGTTTTAAATAACAAAGACAAAATGTAATTATAGGAAATAAATTTTTTGGGAGTCGATTTGATAAAATACGACAATTTTAAATGTACGAGTAGGTAATTGCGGATATTTTAGTACGATTATTTCATAAAGTTTTTATATTTCTGTCTTGTGTTATTTACTAACATTAATTCTTAAGTTTTATTTTCTGTTACTAACATGTTATGGACCTACTTTGCCTGAAAAATAAAACATTTTTATTTTTATTATTATTATTATTATAAAATAGTTACAGCCTCTAAAAATACGTCCCATTCCTGGGCACAGGCCTTCTCTCATTTCCTAAAGGGTTTTAGGGCAAGGAAATGTCCACAATGCTGCTCCAATACGTGTTGGCAAACTTCACATGACTTTGAAATATTTTATTCTTATTTATCAGACATGCAGGTTTCTTCACAATTTTTGCTTCACCGCCGATCACGTGGTAAATCAGCACTTAATAATGCAATTAATTATTTCATTTGTGCCGAGTAATTAGTGGCGGGGATCGAACCCAGGTTTCCCGCGTACTGTGAAATTTACAGCGTGCGCTTAGTCTCTGAGCTGACACGGCTCTTTATTTCTTAAATGTGTGAAGTGGCACGGATTTGAGTCTCCACCTATAACCATCTAACCAACTAAATATTGTATATTATCTAGTACTTATTATTGGCTATTTTTTTTAGAAAAACTGAAAAATGCCGAAACTCTATATAAGAAAATCTAATAGAGGTGCTGCATATACTCAAGAACAATTGAAAGATGCTGTTGAGGCAGTAAAAAATGGCACATTATCTGCATATGCCGCCTCAAAATTGTACGGCATACCGAGACCAACAATAGTGAACCGCGTCTATAAGCGAAAAGGTCTTAAATCAAACAGTTTAGGTAGACCTACAGCATTATCTATGGATGTAGAGAAAACACTTGCAGAAAATCTCCATATAATGGAGAAGTATGGTTTTGGTTTGACTCGCAAGGAAGTGCTTGAAGTCGTTGGTCAATATGTGGTCGAAAACAATATCGAAACCCCGTTCAAGAATGGTACTCCAGGAGAGGATTGGTTCCTTGCTTTCAAAAAAAGACATAATCTTTCCGTCAAAAAACCACAGCCGGTAGAATATGCACGTAAAAAAGCATGCAACCCTGCTGTAATTTATCCTTATTTTGATTTACTGGCGAAAACAATTGATGATTTAGGTTTACGTGATAAACCGTCACATATCTGGAATGCTGATGAAACTAGTTTTAGTAAAGACCCGAGCAAATCAAAAGTAGTAGGACTCCGAGGCTACACGTCAACTAGAACCATCTCATCTCCAGGAAAGACTAATACTACAGTACTTTTAGCGTGCAATGCTGCAGGTGAAAAAGCGCCGCCGCTAATCGTGTTTAAAGGGAAAAGCGTTTGGGACACATGGACGTCAGAAGATGGGTACCCCGGAACTCGATATGCTGCGACTTCAAATGGCTGGATGGAGTCGTCAGTATTTGAAAATTTTATTCAAAAGATTTTTTTGCCAACTGTTGGAGAGAAACGCCCTATCCTCTTACTTTATGACGGTCACTCTACACACTTGGGTATTAACATCATACAAAAAGCACGAGAGGAAAAGATAACAATTATGAAAATCCCACCTCATACAAGCGACAATTTGCAGCCATTGGATATTGCCGTGAACAAATCGTTTAAGGATAAATGGGACGTCGAATTAGTAAAGTGGCAAAGATTGAACGTTGGCAAAGTTTTGCCAAATAAAGATTTCTCAAGAATTATAGGACAAGTATGGGGTCATATCAATCCCCTTGTATGTGCGGCAGGTTTCCGTAAAGCTGGAATATATCCGTTAAATAAAAATGCCATCCCTGAAAATAAATTTGATCCAATTCTATTAGCTGAATGGAAAAGATCTGCAAAACTGACGAAGAAGACGAACGAAGAGATGAGCGAAAGACCAAAAACCTCAGTAGATCAACCTGTTAAAAAACCTGATAAACTTAGAAAAATAGCACTAGCTTCTGTTAATAAAATATTATTTGAGGCACAAGTAGCTCCTCAACATATTTCAATGCATACAATCTCTTTAGAAAATGTCTGTCCCATTTCAATAAATGATGTTTTGAATAAACGGAGTCAAGGAAAAGACGCACCATTGGCAAACATCACCAATGTTCAACAACGTTCAAAGGTTCAGATTCTTGATAACCAACCGGTAATTACCAATATTACATTTGAACAGTTGCTCCTAAGGTCTGTTAAACCGGGAATATTATCATTTATTGCAAAAAGGAAGAAAGTAGCGGCTGGCGCGGAAGTTATCACCCACGACGAAGCGTATGAAAGATGTAAAGTAATGGAAGGAGAAAAACAACAAAAGTTACAAAAACAACAAGAAAAAAAGTACAGCGAGAAAAACAGATACAAGCAAAAGAAGGGGATAGTGAGAATAAATACAACAGTATACCGGGACCATCAGGTCTTAATAGGAAGATAAAAAACAAAGACAAATTTGAAACGGCAATAAACAAAAATAATAAAATGTCAGTTACAAATTGTAAAATTGGTAAAAACACTGGAAAAAAAAGTCAAGTAAGTTTGAAGGAAAATATGAAGAATGTGAAATTTCGTGCAAAGAAAAAAATACAGAAAAAGATCTTCATCTACCAGCGTATCCGATTGCGTCAGCTTGCATGATGATTCTGATATTGTAGACTTAATTGATGAGGACTCAGATTTACCTGAGGAAGACTTTGACATTATTAGAAATTTAGGTTACATAAACTTTATTCCAGACCTTGAAAATAATAACATTACTGATGAAAAAAACAAAGTAACAGAGACTGTTATTGGATCAGGAATAAGGACAATACAGGCAGAGTCAGTTATTAGTAATATAACAAATGGAAGAAAAAAGGCGACAGAAATAGTTACCGGATCAGAAGAAAGGAAAATGGCGGCAGAAGCAGTTGATAGCAACTGGGATGAGAAAATAGAGAAGGAAGGACGTAAGGAAATGAATTATGCAATTAACAACAATGTGATGGTCAGGTACTACACTAGAAATAAATGGACATATTATATTGGCTATATAACTAATATAATATCTCCACATCCTAGTTGCAGTGTCGTAACTTATGAAATAAGGTTCTACAAAACTTACAAAAATCCACTGAAATTTAAACTTACTAAAAAAGTAGATCGTGATACTGTTCCGGAATTGTCTATAGTTAAGAAAGTTCACCTGCTTCAAGATCCTAAAAACTCCAACGAGTTTCTTCTTTCACATGAAGAAGATTTAGTATATTTTTCTTAAATATTTATAAAAAACAGCGTACAGTAGTTTTTGTAATATTTTTTTTCTATTTTTGCAACTTGTTTTAATAAGAAATATGCTCATTCGAAATATTGATCTCTTTACAATGTATAATTGCTAATTTATTAAAGTTTATTGAATTAGGAGTAGGAATAAAATTATAATTTGAAATACAAACGATTATTTTTTTAGTTTGTTACCCCTGACTGGAACTTATGTTTACAAATATATGTTTCTCTGACCCTAAATTTAATATTTTCATTTTCTTCAAAACTGTACCTTGTTGCAATTACGTTACGATCAAATTCTATAAAATAAGTATTACTTAAAATGTAGCAGCAGGTACATTTAAATAAACATCATAATCTTAGGAGATACGGTGAATGTTCCTCTTACCCCACATGAGGGGGAAGAGGAACGTTAGTACAAGTTAAATGTTTTTGGCCGATACTGTCGTAGGTTTTCAAATTAGCGTTATGATTCTTAAAACATGAAAAGTTGATAAACTAAGGAAAGTTTAATGTATCTCAAAATTGTCATAAAACGTTATATGCTCTTCCTAGAGCTCAAAACTTCGGGCTCAAAATAAAGTATGTTCCTCTTACCCTAACTGACCTTATCTCAGTTACCAAGTTGAGTTCCTTAAGACATTGTACTTAGGGATATCGATATTATTCTGTGACTTGAGGGCTTGATCTCGTGAACGATTACGTCACATAGATCGAAGTTTAGAATATCATTCATCACGTTTCGTTTTTTCTATATCGTGAGATTTATTGAATAGCTTTATTTTGATAAAACTTAAATAAATAGAACTGTATCACGTTATATGGTTGTTTTCTACTTACGAAAAGCTTAAATTTTTAAAACTATTGTGTATATCTTTCTAAATACGAACTAAATATTTACTAGTTAATTCAATATGTACAAATAACCTAACGCAAATCGACGACAGCGTCAGTCTCAAATATAAAACTGACATATTATTTTTGACACTTGAAAACAACATCTTGTACGTAACTTTGATCTAAATCTTTTTCTACCTTTATGAATATCTGTGGTTCAGTTTATTTATTTTTAAATCTAATTAATATAGAACTAAAAGTACAGAAAGAACATTTTTTGAACAAATTAACTTCTCCAATATGAAATCTCTTAAATATTACACCTCATTTTTAAGGGACTGCGCCTTGGTGGCAGAAAAGGTCGTAGTTGCTCTCATTACCTACTTTGTTTAATACATTATATTAATTTCAACAATTAATAAAATCATACCTACTTAAATAAATGTACAATATGTACATACTAGGGATGATCGATGTTACAGAAACATCGATGATGACATCGATGTTGATATCGATAGCTTAACATCGATGTTCGATGTTTATCCTACTCAAAACATCGATGTTAGCCGTTATCGATGTTATAGCACATGTACCTGTTTAGTAGGTTAAAATTAGATGTACAAAAACTTTGTAGTGTTGTTTATGGTTTATTATTTTTGAAACTAAATAAATTAGTAACACATTCTGTGTGAAACAGTTATTTAAAAATGGGGAAAACTTAACAAATTTTTAGTTAATTTGTTATATTTTTTGCCGATAATTATGAATATTATTATTTTGATATTTAAATGTTCCTATACAATTATAAATCTACGATATACTATCCTAATTTATGATTTAGACGTAGGTTTTATATTAACTACTCATAGCGCGAAATAAAAAATGATTATAAAGGAAAAATTAACAAACTTCACAAAAACAAAATAATAGACTTTTCCGTCACCTTTGTTAACACAATTTTTAATCAGGCAGCCCAGGCGGTAAGTGTCCATAGCCGTTTATAAAATGCTCTGTAGATTGCACTTTGAGTGAAACTGTCTATGCTCACGATTGCCCAGTGATTTATTCTCATAAACTTCAAGCAAACCGTAAACTTATTATCCAAAGCTCAAAAAAAACAGCTAAATATTGTTACGAGCTTGAGGTTTGTGACAATAAAAATTGCCGATAGAATTACCTAAATTAACACTTTAATTTTCTTTACACAAATTAAAACTTTTATTGATTAACTTGTGTAGATGCATGTTGTTTCGAAATTATGTGTGTATAGACAGCAAGGGAAAAATAATTAATTGGAATATCAATTTATGTCGAACAGTTATTAGGCGACAGCCGATAATGACACCACAATAACAAAGCGAAAGCAGTTACAACAGTGACATTACAGTTCACACTCGACGGGGAGTTTGACACAACATAATGATAGTTTTTAGGTGATCGACGCATTTAGGAATCCTTAATTATTAAAAATTTTAAACCTTTAATAGGAGATGAAATATTTAGTTTATATTGATTTCGCGGGTTCGCATTGTTCACAAATTCCTATTAATCGATTATTGGTTCATTGACATCGATGTTTGACATGTGGCAACATCGATGTTTCGATGTTTAACGTGTGGTAACATCGATGTTAAAACATCGATGTTTTAATTTCTAACATCGATGATCATCGAACATCGATGATCATCGAACATCCCTAGTACATACCTGAAATGATGCTGTGGCATAAAACCTTAAAGTTAATAAGACGGCTATTTCTGGGGAAATTGGAAGACCTCTGTTATTTACTTTTACCAATAAGTTTTTTATTAATGTAATAATATATATTACCGCCTCTTGACCCAATCTGTATCGTTTATTAAATTGTTCACTTGGTAACTTAAAAGGCCGTAAAATATCGTCATAGTACTCAATATTATCGTAATAATTAGTTTCTCTTAAAATATTTTCCATCTCTATGTCAACAGTAATGATCTCAAGTCACGGACTGCCCGCACTCACATTTTAGCATCTCAAGTACACACACTTAAGAGGCGAGTTTCGTTTATTAATCAGTACGTTACTCAGCAGATATCGTAAACCTAAGCCTTATCTTGAGATACGTTTATTAATAAGGTCATAAACTCAACATTGTACTCAAGTGCGTGTACTTGAGCTGAGTAACGTTTATTAATACGGGCCTTAGTTCATTAAAAGCGTTATTAAGCAAGTTTCACATGAAAGTTGGTATTAATGACCAAATTTTTAATGTTTTGAAAAAAAAAACAATAAAGCAACAGACTCCCTCAGACAATGAGTATATCCTTATGTTTGATGAGATGTCAATAAAAAAGAATTTGTTTTACAACAAAAAGGAGGACATAATTGAGGGTTATCAAGACCATGCATTGCAGGGCAGGTCACCACAAATGGCAACACATGCCCTCGTGTTCATGATTGGCGGAATCCGTAAAAAGCTGAAACAACCAATTGCTTATTATTTTTCTAGCGGATCTGTGACTGCAGATAATAGGCTGTCAGTTCTTATAAAGGAGGTGAGCATTATGGTCTTTTATTTGTTATTATGTCAATATATGTAGTAGTACTTTTTTATCGTATTAATTTACCCTTTTATCATTCTAGGTCCTGCAACATTGTTTTGATGCTGGAATTAATATTACAGCTACAGTGTGTGATGTGGATGGTGTAAATAGAGCTTTAAGTATCTTGGGAGCATCTGTAGAACAGCCATATATTCTGCTAAGTAATCGAGAGGTGGTTACCATTTTTGATATTCTACATTTGCTCAAATGCTTTAGAAATATGTTTTTAAAATATGACATTAAATGTCCAACAAATATAACATCAAATGATCAAATTGGATTTGGTAAGATATTTTGTTTTATTACAATCTTTGGTACTTGGTAAGATATTTACACAAATGTTTTTTACAGGTGTTGCTAAATGGAGCCATATAAAGGAGTTTTATGAAACAGATAACACCAATCCCAATTTTGTGTTTGCACCTTTCTTAAAACTAGAACATTTAAATCCAAATACGAAGCAGAAGATGAAGGTGAAGCTAGCTGCACAAGTGTTAAGCCACTCAGTTGCTGCAGGAATGTATGCTAAAATTTCACAAGATAAATTAAATTTATAATTTAAAGTATAATATTTAAACATACGTCCACCCATTAAAATAATTATTAACTTAAAAAGGAACTAGGCTCTCCCAAGTACAAATTATTGTTTATTGTGTGATATGTGATATTTTTTTTGAGTTGTCTTGTAATGTACTTTAAATCATATTTCTTTAATCCTAATAGTAAGATCTTAAATTATGTATTGTTTACAGGGGAACTCTCTTCAGAGGCCGTCACTACTGCTAATGTTATTGCAAATATGAGCAAGCTGTTTGATTGTGTCAAGGCATGCACACCAGACCTAAGAAGGGGGAAGCCATTTTCGTGGATGGATTTGCAGCAGGTAGTGCTAATTAATGACATGAAAATGTTGACTTATTATTTTTAATGCAGTCAATAACAATAATATAACGAAAATAATTTCTACAAATGTAATATTATTGGTGGCATCTATAATATAATCAGGTTATTGGAGTTTAGACATAATATTGCAAAGCTATTGCCTTTTTTGTAGAATGTGAAGGTAAATAATGTTTTCTTGTTAGAAAAAAGTGTTTATATTAGATTGTCTAATCTTTTTTATATAAAACCAATGTACCTTTACTTTCCATTTTGCTTAAATGTCATGTTACATATGCCGTTTACTTAATAGGTGAAGTGATGAACTAATTAGCTATAAACTAATAATCATTGACACGTGTTTTAGCGAAGTTACGAGAATGCTTATTTCCTATACTTCGCTAAAACACGCCTACCTCTTAAAAATAGACTATTCTGCTTTACATTACTACTTAACTATTAAATCAATATTTAGTTAAGAGCTGTTGAGAACTGTTTACAGGCATAAAGTTAAAAATTAGTTAATTACTACGTCACCGTACCGTACCGGGCAACCCTCCGGAAAGCGGGGGAGGGAGGTTGAGAATGCTCATAGCATACCACGCAGCCGGCTGCGTGGCTATGTGGAGACTTTTACCCACTAAACTCAACCTTTTAGGAATTGGCTTAACGATCTGACTAGAGATCTCTAAGCCGTATACGAACGCGACCCTCCTTGGCAGAAAGGAGGGCGCAGTGGCAGAAAGGAGGGCGCAGACTACGTCACTTACGTCCATCAATGTACCAACGGTTTTTCTATGTAGCAATGTGGACAAGTATGTAATGTAAATAAAAATTATGTATTTCAAAAACCACTTTTATTTGAAAAATAGTTCCTTTTTTATATTAAAATGATTGCTAATTGTTTCAAAAGTGGTTTATGAATGTAAAGTACCATAATTTACAAATAACTTTGTGCTTTTGTTTTCGTTTTAATTTAGCAATATATATCATTGAAACGAAATACTACAAGCTATATCTATCTATATGGTATTTTACATTCTTAAGCCATTTTTGAAACGAAACAACCAAGATGCCAACTAAAAAAAATCACGTTTCAAAATTCCCGCGCAAAAAAGTTTTAGTGGGGCACGACAGAGATGGCGTGCATTATGGGTGCCATTTTCTTTGTTTGAAGTTGACATTCTTTCCGCCTAAGGGTATTAGTGTTCTGTGGATCCAGCGCACACTGTTCTCTGCCGGCTGTGCACCTGCCACTATGACATCCTCCCCGCTCCCACCCGTTATCGACCAAATACTCATCGAATTTAAATTTGCGAAAAAGTGTTTATTTATAGGTGCAGTTTACATTTCGCCAAAACAATGCCATGACGTTTATCTTAGTTACTTAAATATTTTACAAAATAAGTTGCTTGACGTGGATACTAGTGTAACAGATTATTTTATTGTTGGGGACTTTAATTTACCTGACTTAGTTTGGATGAATAATAATTCCTATGGGCAATATCCTTGTATCAGCGATATTAACCAATCTCACATACAAATAAATAATTTTATGGCGGTATTAAATTGCTCTCAAATAAACTCCTTAAGAAACGACAAAGGCCGTATTTTGGATCTTTTATTTACTAATAAAACAGACTGTGAGTTGTCATCGATATCAAATGCATTATTAGTTCCTGCGGATAAACATCACCCACCTTTTTGTGTATCGGTTGCGTATGCTGCAAATCATGGATACATCCGGCTTAAACCATATCTCAACTACTGTTACATAAACGCGGACTATAATGAAATTATGCAAAAATTAGTGAATGTTGATTGGGATTTCTTATTTTTAAATAAAAGTGCTAAGGAAGCGGTTTCATTATTTTATGAAAAAATTTACAGTATTATTAATTTACATGTACCTTAAAAGTATATTAGGGCTTCTTCGCATCCTGCCTGGTTTACTCCTGAATTAATAAATTATTCAAGAAAAAAAAAATCGAGCTTGGGTTAAAATGAAAAAATACAACAACAATTCAAATTATAATATATTCTCAATATATAAAAAAAGTTTAAAACAGTATCAGAAAAATGCTACAAAACTTACATGGCGAAGGTTGAAAATAGCATAAAATATAACATTAAATACTTTTGGAAGTTCATATCTCAACGCCGTAACATTTCAGAGATCCCAAGTAGTGTACAATATAAAGGTTCTATTGCTCATAGTCCAAAAGAGTCCTGTGATCTATTTAGCAAATTCTTTCAATCTGTGTTTCAACGATCATCTGTGCCACATGATTTCGATATTGATGATATTTTCATACCATTTGAAAATACATCTCACTTTACTATTCATAACATCAAAGTGACTAGATCCCAGGTACGTAAAGCCCTGCAAATGTTAGATGTATCGAAGGGCGCTGGGATGGATAACATACCAGGTGTTTTCTTCAAGGTAACTGCATCTGTAATCGATCTTCCTTTGTGCTATCTTTACAATAAATGCTTATCTGATGGAACATTTCCTGCTATTTGGAAAAGTGCAAGAATAGTCCCAGTTTTCAAGGATGGATCAAAAAGTGACGTTATGAATTATTGAAAAGAAACCAGAACAAAAACAGGAGGTCGAGGAGTCGTTACTTGATCCGGCTGGTTCAGCAGCGGATACCCTAATCTCCTATGACACCTACGTTGGGTTCGGGAACAACGTATGTGGACCCCGCAACGGAGTAACACACAAGGGCGTCGACCTCTTCCTTTTCTTCAAATAGGTTCAGGCGGGGATTACGGGTCTTCCGAAGTCGTCCCGGTCCCAACGCCTTAATTCTTCAATATGTGCCGCAACAGCGACACAGCGGACTGTATTAATTTGGAAAGGAATGATTCCTTGGGAATAAAACAGCAATTATCTTCAAACCGTTCCGTGAGAGAGTAATCACTTTTCCCTATCACTTCCCTATACTTTTTCTTTCTTCTTCATATTGTATACTGCTGGTCCCGAACGATTTGTAACGTTGTTCGTCGTCTTCATGCACCTAGGTACATGTAGGTATCGGGCCTCCGGGTAAACCCCATTACCCGGATATCCTCATGCTCCATAACTATGGTGCAGTCATTTTAGCCTATTCTTGGCATGGATAGTGCTACGTTTTATAACGTAGCCGGATAAGAATTTTTTCCCGTAGTTCACCGACTACGGGAAAAGGAGGTTATCAATGGAGGTTATCTAAGTAGGTCTAAGTTGGCCTTTTAGCGGCATTGGGGGTTGTTACTCGACTCTCTAATCGATATAGAGAGGAGTTCTCTTGGAAGAGGTCGCCCGTCCGGGGGCCGAGTGTGCAACGGTGCAAAACCGTTGAGATGGTCATGTGGCCCGTTATCGGCACGGTCGAACATGCCGCGCGCTAGCCGGGCCACGAAGTCGGTGATGGTCTCGACTTTCAGATCGGCCGCTATGACGTCATTCCGGACGTAACGACCTGCTCCGACAATCGTCCTTAATGACAGGTTCTGCTGAGCCTGTAGTCGCCGCCTCAGAGGGTCGCTCAGAAGCGCGTACCAGGCCGGAGCAGCGTAGGTGGTAATGGTCCGGATATACATCTTGTATATCCGGAGCTTGGTCTTTATTGGCAGCTTGGATGCCAGGACCGGACGAAGCATCGCCCGCGCACATCTGGCTTTGCGGACGACGAAGTCGACGTGCGCAGCCATGCGCAGCGCCCGGTCGATCCGGCACCGAGGTATGTCACGGCCTTCTCGTACGCGATCTTCTGGCCGTCGAGAGTTAGCGGAGGTGGTAGATTTCTGAGACGGCGAGTGAGCAGAGCGGTCGTCTTACCAACGTTGACGACCATCCTCCACTCGTTCAGCCATGGTGGCAACAGGTCCAGCAGACGCTGCATTTTGGCAGTGGCTATATGGGCTCTTCTGGACGAAGTGAAATAGGCGCTATCGTCCGCATATAGCGCCAGCTCAACATCGTCCTCCCATTCTTGCAGCCTGCCTGCCAATGTTGGTATGTCGTTCGTGTAAGCCGCGTACAGGACTGGAGACAGACAACTGCCCTGTGGGACGCCGGCACTGATGGTTCTTGTTGCGGACTCGGCGTCCTCTACGCAGACGTAGAACTTCCTGTCTTCCAGGAAAGACGCTATTAACCGCAACATAGCAGGGAGGACACTGGTCTGCTCGTGTAATTTGTATAGTAATCCTGAGTGCCACACCCGGTCGAACGCTTTCTCGATGTCGAGAAAGACGCCCAACGATATGCGGCCACGATTGTACTCTGCCGCAAGCAGGTGCAGCACTCTAGTCAACTGTGTGACTGTAGAGTGACCCCTCCTGAATCCGTGCTGCTCCGCCCGAAGTTGGATGCACGGACGGAGACGTCTCAGCAGCAATCTTTCAAGCAGTTTAGCTATGTGCGGTAATAGCGTAATCGGCCTGTAGCTGGCAGCTCTACGCCTGTCCTTCCCGGGTTTCGGCAAGACGATAATTTTGCCTTTCTTCCATTCCTCCGGGAAGTGGGATGTCCGCAGTATCCCATTGTAGAGTCGACCAATCTCTACTAGGACTTTATAGGGCAGTTGTCGGAGTGCAGCGTTGGTAATCCCGTCGTGTCCGGGCGCCTTCCTCGGTTGCAGGCAGGTTACTGTCCTCCGCAGTTCGGCGGGGGAAATGAACCACTCTCCTGCAAGAGGCGGCGCAGGTGACGACAGGAACTCCTGTACGCGACTTTCCTTTATGGCATGAAGCTCCATGAACTCCGCACTTGCAGGATTCGGCATAAATTGCTCCTCGAAGAGCTCTCCTAGGATATCCGCTCTGCCCTTGGCATCGTAGCAGCGTTCGCCCGCACTGTTGGTCAGCGGGCAAACGGGAGGTCTGGTTTTGGTTAACTGTCGGTTCAGTTTGTA